CTTCGGGAAATTGTTTTTCTTGTTGAAACCTGAAGTTCCATCGAAATTCCTCTTTTCACCAACATTTATCCTTTTCATACCCTTTTCTTTCTGTTGGTCCTCCACATTCTTAGCTGCTCGAACAACCGTTTTCAGAGTAGTTGTCGTCTTGACTGTCGGGCCAAAGTCGGCAGGCAGTCCATTGGCGAACCTCTCAATCTTGGAGAGTTCCATTGGTACTAGGTACGGAAATAACTTCATTTTCTCAGTGAACGCAGTAGCATAGTCATCTATGCTCATTCTCCCCTTCTTCAAGTTTTGGAACTCATTGTTCAGATCAATCAGATCTATCTCTGAACAATATTGCACCCTTAACTGTTCCAAGAACTCCTCCCATGACATTTTCAGGGCTTTCCCTCGTGGCATAGTATCTGCCAACAGCTTCCACCAACTCAAGACTCCAGTCTTCAGTTGTCTAACTGCGAAAACAGTCTTCTGTTTGTTGCTACAGTCGCAACTTTCAAATACCATCTCTATTTCAGAGATCCAATTCATTATCTCAACAGGCTTTGGGCTTCCAGAAAGACTTGGCGCCCAAGAAATTCTTGTACATTCGCCCATCCTTGTTGTTTCTCCTTTCCAGATCGTCCCTTCGTTCTCCTTGAGTCCCAACTTGACTCATAATGCGACTATTGTTCCCTTCCTCCGATTGCTCGGGAATCAATTCAGGTTCCTCAATAGGTATGATAGGTTCGTCCTTATTATTATGCAACATCTGTCGCATCTCATCCCTTTGTTCGGCTAACATATCCCGAATCATGGCTTGCACTCCAACCATGGTGATTGTTCTGGTGCAGCAGCTTCAACAACTACTTGTTGAATTACAGGCGGTTGATTCCTGTTCTCGTTTGCGTTTCCAACACCGCTTCTTGTTCTCACCATTTTTGATCTATACACCGAATAAGGTGAAATTTAGATTTTCATTCACGATAGATATTCAAATCATCCTTATCACTCCGAAAACGATTACATGCTAGTTCTAATATCGTAGACATGCGCTTAGAATCCTAAACACATAAACCTTCAGATCCGGTTGGCAACAAACCGTAGATCCGAACAAATAATATCATATATGGTAACATATAACATTTAGCACGTAAAAGCATTTTAGGCAACTTCCTAAAATTTACTAGTGCTTTTGTCTAAAATCCAACAGACACTTAACCTAAATTTCCACTTAGCATTCTAAGTTTAAGTCTAGAAATCCTAAAGATTCTTACTTCGCTTAAACTAATGCTATGATACCAACTGTGACATCCCAAAAATCACGGCCAGAAAAGACCGGTTTCATTTATGCTTTTAAAATAATTTCAGAGTAAATCCTTTTGATTTAAAAGAGTTGCGGAATTTGTTCCCCAAAACAAAATTCGATAAAATGATATTTATCAAAGCATTTCATCAAGAGATGCATTTTCATTATATAATCAAAACTCGGGATGTCATATTCCGATACAAACCAAAAAGCATAAACGATAACATTACAAGTTATTCAAAAAAATATATACATATACAGACTTGTAAACAAAACAACTCGATGATTCATCCATCTTATGCCATTGCGTCACTTCCACTAATACAAATAAAACTGAGTGGGTCAGGCTTGGGAGCCTGGTGAGCATATAGGGTTTTCAACCCACAATAAAGAAATTATATTTAATTTCACCAACCAACAATAACCTGATTACCCATTCCCGTTATCCTCACTTTACGTCCCTAAAACAACATCTATCTCAAGGGGCCTAATCTAGGATTTTCATCGGGATGGACATTACTGCTAAGGGGTTTCCTCAACAATAGATATCCTAAAGGCAACCATGAGGGGGATAGAGTACACCGGTGAACACATCGTTCACAACACCTACATGTTATGAACCTGCTAGCGTTCCACAAGACTGTCTAGAAGGAGTCTGTGGTCGTTATCCATACTCCGCTAAATAACTAGGTCAACAACAACAACATCGAGGCCTCTCATCTGTTTATCACACACCAACTATGTACCCATGTTCTACCCAACATATTAGTAGATAAAAATATATATTTTTATACATAGTTTAAAACCTGTATAGCATTCTCATTTAATACATATTCCACATAACAGATGAGGCACACCCACATAACACGTATTTCATAGAGAATAAATCATATTTATGAGATAGAAGAAAGTGAATACACATTCACACACATAACCACAAAATTATACACGTAACACGTATTTCGTATAAAATACTTCATAATTATGCGCTATAAGAAAGTAACTACACACTCACTTGATCTGAAGATGATCGGGCAACAGTAGTATTTCTCCGTAGATCTGGAAGATCTTCACAAAACCGGGCTCCTCGCGGGCAGAGCATCGGCTCGGGAATCAAACTTCTCGGGATCTTCGGGGCTTCAGGACTTGCTTCGGGGCTCGGGAATATTACCGGGGTTTCGGGGTATAAATGGCACACTAAACGAGGAAAAATATGAGAGAAAATGGAAGGGTTTGTAAAAGAAAATCGGTTGCCTTCGCATCCCCTTTTATCGGGCTGATCCTCGGTAGTACGCTGGGCGTACGGGAGTTTTACGCGGGGTGTACTCCTCCGGAGGCGTCACTGCGTGCATCATCGGCCCTCTTCGTCATCGCATACGAACTCCGAACACTCGAGTGGTACGTTGGGCGTACTTCAAATGAGTCCGGTGACTCCCCTTCGGATAATATCGGTTATAATAAATAAATTTAAATATTAATTATTTAATAAACTTTGAAAATTCATATATTCTTCATACGAACTCCGTTTTCAACATTCTTTATATCCACGCGTAGGTAAGACTACGCTCTACAACTTTCGTTTAGAC